GGCATGTGGTGCTGGGGGATTGAACCGCGGTCCCTGTGCTTTAGCCAAGCTTGTTCTAAGTAGGTGCTTTAGACCACTGAGCCATCTCACCAGCCCCTGCTTTCCTTTTAATTATGTTATAGCTTTCTATTTGTATGTCTTCTTTTGAGTTCCTACACTAGGGAGACTATATGATATTTGCACATGTGGGTCTGGTTTATTTTGCTTATAAGTATATCTTCAAGTGGCATCCACTTAAATATGAAGGCGTTGAGTTTATCATTCTTTATAGCTGAATAATACTCCATTGCATCAAAATACCACATCTTTTTCAACCATTCCTCATGTGATGGGCATCTTGGTTGTGTTGAAGACTTGGCTATCACTAATTGTGCTGCTATAAACATAGGTACACATATATCACTATGATATGATGTTTTCTGTTCCTCTGGGAAAATTCCTATTAGGGGGATAGTTGGTTTGAATGGGATTTCCAGTCCTAGTTTCTTAAGGAGTCTCCACACTGATTTCCATAATGGTTGCCCCAGTCTACCTTCCCACCAGTGGTGGAGAAGGGTTCCCTTTTCCCCACAGCCTCTCCAATATTTGTTGGTTGATTTCTTTATGATAGCCATTCTTTCTGGGGTAAGATTGTATCTCAGTGTTTTAATTTGCATTTCATGGATGGCTAGTGATGTGGAGCATTTTTTCATATATTTATTCACTTCTTTAATTTCATCCTCTGAGAAGTGTGTGTCATCTCGGATGCCCATTTCTGGATTGGGTCTTTAAATTTAGGGGCCCTAATGTTTTTTAGTTCTTTATAAATTCTAGAGAGCATGCCCTTGTCTGAGTGCTTATTAGTTAAGAGTTTTTCAAAATTTGTGGGTTGTCTTTTTACTTTGCTGATAATTTCTTTTGACGTGCAAAAGCTTCTCCATGAGAGTTGGTCCCATTTGTTAATTCTTTCACAAGTATTACCTGTGCGATTTGATTTTTATTCATGAATTCTTTGCCTACCCCTGTCTTCAAGAGTTCCTCCTACTTCTCTTCCAGGAGATTTAGTGTTTCTGTTTTAATGTTTAGCTCTTTAATCCATTTTGACTTTAGCTTAGTGCATGGTGATAGACCTGGATCAAGTTTTAGTTTTCAGCATGTAGAGAGCCAGTTTTTCCAGCACCATTTGTTAAAGAGGCTATCTTTCTTCCAGTAAGCATGTTTGTCCCCTTTGTCAAAGATCAGGTAGCTGAGTGTGTTTGTAGAGGCCACTGCATCTTCTAATCTATTCCATTGTTCTTCAGGTCTATTTCATTGCCCATACCATGCTGATTTTATCACAGTAGCTTTGTAGTATAATTTCAAGTCAGGAATTGTAATGCCTCCTGCCTTGTCTTTGTTGGCCAGGATTGCCTTTGCTATTCTAGGTCTTTTCTGGTTCCAAATAAATTTTAGAAATGATTTTTCTAGGTCTGTGAGGTATGTTATTGGTAGTTTGATAGGGATTGCATTAAATCTGTGCAACAGTTTTGGAAGTATGGCCATCTTCACGATGTTGGTTCTTCCTATCCAGGAGCAGGGAATGTCTTTCCTTTATTGCTCTTCTTCACCCAAATTTCTTTGAACATTTCTTGTGAGGTAGTTGTATTGGCAGCTCATTCCCTCAATTTTTCTTTGAGAAAGACTTTATTTCTTCTTTACTTTTGCAGAATAATTTACCAAGGTATAGATTACCTTGTTTGTTTTTGGTCTTTTTTGATTTTACTGTACATTTTTGGTTGAACTTTTTTTTAGGGGAGGTTTGCTTTTTGTTTTGGGGGCCAAGGACTGAACCCAGGGCTTCTAGCTTGCTAGGCAAGCATTCTACCACTGAGCCAAATACCCAGCCCCTGGCAAGGTGTAGAATTTGAGGTTTTTTTTTTTTTTTTTTGGTCAAACTAAATATTTTGCTGCATTGTCCTCTTATGTGCTTGCTTGCTTCCTTCCTCCCCTTCTCCTTTCTTTCTTTCTTTCTTTCTTTCTTTCTTTCTTTCTTTCTTTCATGTTTGTTGCAGGGTCTCATTACACAGCTTGGCCTTGTGGTGATCCTCCTGCTTTCAGCCTCCCCAGCACTGGGATTACATGGGTACACCACTACACCTGCACTTTGGCCAGCTCAGCCCACCCTCAGGGTGAGGCTGGTGTGGCATGTGGTGCTGGGGATCAAATGTGGTCCCTGTGCTTGCCTCAGCTTGCCTAAGCAAGTGCTTTAGTCCCCTGAGCTATCTCGCTGGCCCCTTACATGGTTTCTGAAGAGAAGTTGCTTGTAATCATTATTGTTTCTGAGAAGTTGGATGTAATTCTTATCTTGTTTCTGCACTGGTTTTTCATCTGGTTTCTTCTAAAATTTTTCTATTTATTTATGACCAACACTCCACATACTGATTGTCTGTAGTCATAGGTTCTTTGAGGCAGTGTTATTGGGCTGGGCCAATCACAGGGTGTGGTCATCTAACTCATCCCTCCTACACTTACTCAGCCCTTCAAGTAGCATAGAGATTTTTATTTATATTTACTTATTTATTGATTGTCTTTTTTGAGATGGGGTTTTACTTTGCAGTTCAGGATGGCTTGAATTTGTTTTGTAGCCCAGGGTGGCCTCAAACTGCCAGCGATCCTCCTGCCTCAGCCTCCCGAGTGCTAGGATTATAGATGTGCACCATTATTTAATGTATTTAGTACAGGCTCTTCAGGGTCTCACTACACAAAGATCCTTGTAGAGATCCTTCCTGCTTTTCAGCCTCCCAAGTGCTGGGATTATGGGTGCGCGCCACCACACTCAGTCTCATTGTCTCAGTGAGGCCGAGGGAGGGAGCCGGCACTGCAGGCCAGGGATGGAACCCCCGGCCCTTGTGTCTGCCTAAGCAGGCATTTATTTATTTATTTATTTATTTATTTATTTATTTTTTGCGGAGCTGGGTATTGAACTCAGGCCCTTGCGCTTGCCAGCAAGCACTTAATTCAACTGAGCTATCTCCCTAGCCCCCAAAGCATGCACTTTAGTCTGCTCAGCTGTCTGACGGGCCCACTGGGAGCATAGATTTTAAACTGGGTGTTAAACCTCTCTGTGACGAGGTCAGCCTTGGGCGTGTTCATCTGAGTCTTTTTATAAATTTCATTATCAACTTTTCATTTAATGTGTTTTTGATTGATGATGTACTACTGATATCTTCCCAAGGAGGTGGAAAGTGGGAACCTTTAAACTGCTTATTCTTTCCACATTTATTAGTTGGGATTTGTTTATATGGATTTGATTGTCCAAAAATACAGTTTGAAAAGCAAAGGCACGTGTTTTATTTTATTTTATTATTTTTTTTGGCAGAATCGGGGATTGAACTCAGGCCCTTGTGCTTGACAGGGAAGCGCATATTCCACTGAACCATCTCCCCGGCCCCTAAAGGCACGTGTTTTAAAAATCAGTTTTCAGAATAATCTGGGGCCCTCGTAGCCTCTACTGGTGGTCAGCTAATGAATTGTTCTCCCCATTATTTCAAGAAGATTGATGTGAACATTTTATCAACCCATTATACACACCTAGATTTTGTAGGTTTGGCATTCTTGAATCATTTACAGTCACTTCTTTTGATATTAGGCTATTTTATCTTTGGCCAGCGGAGACCTATTTAGTCAGACTACGAGCATCTTTGTCACTACTCTGCTAGTCTGAACCATTAACTCTGGGCAGCAGTTTTTCCTCCTTTAAGTAACTGCATTTATTTGGTCTTTATTAGCTTCCCTTCATAAGAGAAGGTACTAAATTCTAATGTACTCTACAATTAAATCTCTTATGCTAAAGAGCTACTGTTTTGGCTGCTTTTATCTTTAAAATTCACACAGTGGGTGAACTAATATGTTGTGTGTGTGTGTGTGTGTGTGTGTGTGTGTGTATGTGCGCATGCATGCCAAAAATCAAACTCAGGACCTTGTGCTTGCCAGGCAGGTGCTTGTGCCGCCAAGTTGTCTTCCCGGCCCTAATGCATTTTAAAATAGAAAATATTTTTGTTTTTTTCTCTCTGATCTTTTAGCTCCTAGTTGCATTATCCTGATTCAGGGTAGTTCCACACTCTAAGCACAGTGTCTAGGTAGAAAACAAAACAAATGATACGAAATTGATTGTACTTAAAGTTGTAATGAGGTTTACCAGAGAATTCCCTGACAGCGAAGCTAGCTAGCAGGATTATTATTCATCCAAATGTGAGATTTTTCCTCCTTTTGATGCGTGTAGCAGTGTTGGACGGTGCAAAGCTGCCCTTCTTCCTGGGCACTGGGCAGGGAGATGGCAACTTACAAAGGGCCCAAGGCCTCCGAGGGAGCTGACTGGGGTGACCAGAAGGCCGCAAAGCCGGCCAAGACTGGCCAGGTGGCTGCAAAGGCAGCCTCAGTCCCTGAAAGCTGGGAACTGGAGTCTGTCCATTCTGGCAGTGCCTGGGACAGGTCCAGAAGGCTGGGCCAAGTCCCTGGGGCTGTCCCTGGGACCAGAAGGTATACCTAGAGGGAGACCTGGGTTTCAGTTCCAGGCCGTAAAGTTCAGCACATCCAAGGAGGAGCTGAAAATGACTTCTTGGAGTGTTTGAAGGACAGTGTCTCCTACTGAGCTGTATAAGATAAACTTGCACAGGAGTCTGCGTCAGTCTGAGTCCTGTGGAGCACGTGTGACTTCAAAGGCAGCTCTGGAGGGCTTGCTTAGGGAGGAGAGTGCACACTTCTATTTCTGACTTTGGCACAGTTCCACCAATCTCATTTTGACGGCCAAGAAGCAGAACCTTTTCTGTTCTCTCTTCATTCATTTGCATTTTGCAGATCCACCTTCATTTTGTTACAGAGGCAGTTTGAACCCTGAAGACAGTTTCTTCAATCTGTACATGAGGCTTTATTTTACCGGAAAAAGGCAAAGGCAAGAGAGCTGTTGATTTCAAGGGAAGCTTTGGATAGCCCCGTTTGGTAATTGCCTCTTCCTCAACTTCCCTTCTCTTCCCACCAGAGTGAATGTCTTTGGAGCTTGAAATAGTTTTTGTTTGCTGAAGATAAGAACTATGCTTTCAGTAGGATGTAGAGGGACTGCTGGGTTCAGGGAGAAGGGTCGAGATCCCTGGGTATGGCTTCAGCCTAGTGTTTGTGGCAGCGGTGGGGTGTGGGTGTGCCTGTGCCCATCAGTGCACTTCTAGAGACTTCTAGAGAACCTGAGACATTGAGGCTGCTCTCCAGGCTGTTCTTTAGGCTGTGTTGGGTGTGTGTTGCCTTTGTGTGTCTTATGTATTGTGTATATATCATTTCCAGTGTGTGTACTGTGTGCATTTTCTGAGTTGAGTTTGCTCTCTGTGATGTTTTTGCCTTGCCTGTCACCTCCCCTTCTCCACACATCCGTGGAGACTGACTGGACTCTGTTAGGGGCGTGTTTTATTGTATTTATTTATTATTATTATTATTATTATTATTATTATTATTTTGAGATTGGGTCTTGCCAGCCTTGTCTTGAACTTGAGACCTTCCTATCCCAACGTACTGAGTGGCTGGATTACAGGTTTGTGCACCATGTCTAGCTCGGAGCTCTGCTGTTTTCAGTTTTAGTATTTTTTAATCTGTTGACTTCTGGTCACTGTTATTACTCTTTTCCAAACTGCTCCCTGTGCCATTTGGCACTTGGTCTCCTGACATGGTTGCGGTACTGGTTGGAGTGTGATTCTGATGAGCTGACTGCCTCTCTGTGTGAACTTACTAGGCCAAGGAGGGAGAGCAGCTCTGGGTCTGGTTATACAAGATGTTATTAGCTTTGATGGACAAGCTACTATTGGCATCACTGTCTTAGATGCTAAGCTTCCTTTTATTCCAGCATTATTAACTCATAACTTGTCTCTCTTTTTCCCTATCTTTTGTTAGTAATACTTCTTTAAACTGTAAGGGATGGTGGTATAGTATTAGTAGCCGTGATATCAAATGCTCTAAGATTTACCTCCCTGAATTGCTTCCTTTATCAAAATAGGACCTTCCTTGAAGGACTTGGTAGGATGAATTTAATGCTTATGTAATGAGTAATGTTATAACCGGAAGCAGCTATCAAATGGTCAAAGTATATCAGGTATTATGTGAAAATTTGTAAAAAACCAAGAGGTATTTTGGTCATTTGAAAACACTGTCTAGCTTCTGTGTGCACAGAATTGCATAGAATGGTGCTATTGAATGTACGGTCTGCAGATGGGTGTTCCCTCAAATAGCTGGTATATTCTAGTAGGCAGAGGGGGAAAAAGGAGCCTTATGTGAAATATTTACAGAATAACATAAGAAAGCTTAAACTTAAATGTTAAATTAGTTGGAGATCTACATACACTCTGGTTGGACACACACACACACACACACACACACACACACACACAGGAACAATATGTATGTGTATGCTGGAGATGACAATTGACAGAATTCAGAGGAGGCCAAAGGCTTGATGAGTTGGGGAGCTCAGCATGAAAGAGAAGAAGGAATCAGATAATTTGGATGGGGAGAGGTGAGGATAGCAATGACATTGACAGATTTTTTTAAAAAAGGGACTAAGGAGTAAGGATTTGTGGGAAGGCCAGGATGATTTGGGTTCTGAGTCATTTATTTATTTATTTTTATGTATTTGTACAGGGTCTCACTATGCAGCGTGGACTCATAGTGATGTTTCTGTTTCCAGACTCCTCAGCACTGGGATTCCAGGCATGCACCACTATGCCTGGTCTTAGTGGCCAGCACAGTATGCCTGGGGGTGGGAAACAAACTCTGGTCCCTGCACTTGCTTAAGCAGGTACTTGGTCCGCTGAGTTATCTCACCGGCCCTGGGCTCTGAGTCTTGTAACAGAAAAGATGGAATGAACTTTTACTAATAGCTTCAGTGTCTGAAGAAAGTTGATCTAAAGAAACTTTGAGAATATGCAGTTTTATTTATAGGTAGGAATTAAGTAGAAGTTATTCTCAAACTATATTACTGTGGGTTTCTTTTAAGTAACTGAGACTATTTGTCAATGTCTTAGTTCCTTTGTTATTGCTGGGGCAAAATACCCAGCAACCTACAAGTTCAGAGGAGGAGAAGCTTACTTAGCTCATAGTTTTTGGAGGTTTCAGTCTGTAGTTGGCTGGCACCACGGCAATGTGGCACAGCAGAAGGGCATGGCGGAGAAGAGATAGTCCATGGCAGAGCAGGCAGGAAAAAGCAAGCAGCAAGCCTGCTTTCTTTTCTGTCCCTTTGTGTTCCATTCCCGCTATAAGCCTATCAGTTAGTGCTACCCATACCCAGAATGGGGCTTCCAATTATCCAAACCCAGAACTATATAAACCAACTAATGAACTAACCTAGTTACTACCCAACCTAGATCCAGCCACCTCTGAGAAACCCCACCTATAAGCATATGAGGTTTTGGGGGACACCTGAACATAGACCTAATAGTTAATATTGAAAGAAAATTGTAAAGCTACCAACACATGCATTTCTAAATACAATAGAATACACTAAAAGGAAACAAGGTACAAAATTATCTCTGAGTTTGCACAAGAAGATAGAAATACAGTTGAGATTTGGATGTCTCCCAAGAGACACATCCTAACACAGTCAATGCATTGCACATGGTGGATTTTTAATAGATTGCAATGAACAAATGCATGCATTTAATATAAAGACATTCTTTAGTGCTGGCCTCAGAGAGATGCTATAAATGACACACTAGTGGTCTTCATTTCCAGGGACTGTGTTAAGTATTGGTAAACCATCTTTTTGGTTGATTATTAGAACCAGCCCAAATGATATCATTGAGTACCTTCTGTGACCCCAGGAACCTAGGAATAGGCATGTGAGACTTGACTCAATACTGCAGAATTTAATACAAATATGAGGATATTTACTAGAGGAAAACTAGAAAATAAAGACAATATACAAGGCAGGAATACTTCAGGGGAGTCTGAGTGGATGTCTTTGTTACTTTTGTTTTCTCTCATCTCCTTTTAACTTAGGAAATTGTTTCATCATGATTTCAACTGTTGTCTTTACTGATGGCATCTGTTTGGGGTTTCATACCCAGACAGTGAGGATTTTCCCATCATCTTCAAGTACAGTTCTCCAAATCGAGAGTTTCTCGCAATCAAATTAATTCCTGTTCCACTTCTGTCTATGACAACACCATTGTTCTAGTCCCCAGGCTCACAGCCATTGCCAACTTCTGCCCATCCATGTTTCCTTGTGTTTATCAGTTGCCATGGCTACTGTATTCTGGGTTGGGAGTAGATCAAAGGTGAAGGAGAGACTTTTAACCAAAGGAGCCCAACTGTGCAAACCTAGTGCAGTGAAGAAAAGGAAATGAAGTAATGTGCTTGAGACTTTTTGGTGGAAGACACGGACAGTAGAGCTTGATTTAATGTTGCTGAGATTCATCATAGGGCTTGAACGGTGGGTGAAATCCTTACATTCTTTGGCTTAAAGGTCTCTTTGGGCATATATTATGTGTTGAGTTGCTTAATATTGGTGTGTTGCTGGGGACAGAACCCACGGCTTTTCCACTGAGCTACCTCTTTATCCTTTTTTAAATTTTTATCTTGACACAGGCTATTGCTAAATTGTACAGACTATGCTTAAACTTGTGATCTTTCTGCCTCAGCTTTACAGAGTGCTTGGATTAGAGGTATGCATCACTACGCCCACTTGGTATATTAACATTTGATAAGTAGAATTTTGCTTTAAGGATTTTGGAGAAGCTTAATATTTAAAGTAGGCCTGTCATTAAATTTACATTTTCAGGCTGGGGAGATAACTCAGCGGTCTAAGTGCCTGCCTGGCAAGCACAAAGACCTGTGTTTGATCCCTGGTACTGCATGCATGCTGTGCTGTCCCAGAACCATGGGCCTGCTGCGCCAGCCACTGAAACTGGGTGTGGTGGCACATGCCTATAATCTCAGCACTGGGGAGGCTGAGACAGGAGGTTCACTAAGAGTCTGAGCTGTGTAGTGAGACCTTGTACCAAATCAATCAATCAATCAATCAATCAATCAATCAATGTTTTAAAACATTTTTGAAAAATCTTGCATTTTCAGTCATGGCATTTTTCCTGGTGTGTTACCTGAAAAAATATATTGACCCTTTGATCAGGTTATTTTGGCTTAACTGTCAATTAGTAGAATGAACTATAACATTATGAAGGACCATCTTCCATCAGTGGAGTTAAAACAGAGATGGCATTACTATTTAGGATACTGAAGACAGGAGCCTAGTATTAGCTATGGCATTGAACTAGCTTCCTAAGGTGCTACTCGCAGAATACACATGTGCTCTTCTGTGACACTTGATTTAAACTGAAATGTTCTTTTGATTTTGCACTCACGTTCAGTAGGGTGGAGCTGAGCAGGAGGGCTGAGCCTTGGTAGGGGAAGCACTGGGTTTGACATTAGCCTAAGTATACAAGGGTATAAAGGGTTCAGGGCATCTTTCCATAACGAAGTAGAAAGAGATAAAGGATGTACTTCCCCCCAGTACTAGGGATTGAACCCAGGACCTTTGCACTGAGGTATGGTCCCAGTCCTGCTCTTTTTTTTCCTTCTTTCCTTTCTTTTCTTACAT